TTTTGCTAAGCTTGTTGGCCATTTGTATATCTTCTTTGGAGAAGTGTCTGTTCAAGTCCTTTGACTATTTTTAAGTTTCAAGTTATTTGTTTTTTTCTTGTTCCCTGCTTTTACATTTAATTATTAGTTTTAAATATATTGACTCTCCACTAAGAAAGAGACATTTTTGTTTTTGCAGTAGGCGGGCCTCTCACTGTTGTGGCCTCTCCCGTTGCGGAGCACCGGATGTGCAGGCTCCGCGGCCATGGCCCGCGGGCCCAGCCGCTTCATGGCATGTGGGATCTTCCCGGACCGGGGCACGAACCCGTGTCCCCTGCATTGGCAGGTGGACTCTCAACCACTGCGCCACCAGGGAAGCCCGAAAGAGACATTTTTGAATTTACACTTCCTTTTGCTTTCTCTACATCTTGATTTTTCTTGGTAATTTTTATATTGTAAAGGTTTATAACATTATTCTGTTCTTTAACTCCTATATTTTAAAAGTAATTTTAAAAAGCATTTATAATGAATTCTTATGTAAGTGTGATGCACTTGAAAAGCCAAGAAGTGTGTTTAGATGCTTAGAGAAGGAAAAGTAATCTTGAGTCAGTAAAACTTCTTTTAAGGGTTTCTGTTAACTTTAGTTTTGGGGCTGGTATGTTTTCTCCATAAATTTTATCCCATCTGTTTTCAGTCATCTAGGATTTTCTCATACTTTTTGGTCTGCTGCTGCTGCTGTTTTCGTGTTCTAAGACTTTGATAAACTTGTCATTTCAGTTTTCTGTCATTTCACTGGACCCTTAGGATGAAAGGTTATAGCTGTTTGTTCCCTCCACCATATTAAACCAGAAGCATCTGTTTTTGTTTTGTTTTGTTTTGTTTTTCTGTGTATTTTTTAGAAGGTTGGATTATTTTTATCTAATAAGGGTCCACTTCTATTTAAAGTGTTATATGAATTAATAATGTTTTAAAATTTATTGAACACATTTAGAGTATGCTATATGCTATATGCTATATGCTTATAGTATGCTATAAGTATTTTAAACATGAATTCACTTAATCCATTAAATCCTTATAATATCATAGGAGATAATATTATTCTCATTTTATAGATGAGGAAATTGAACCAACAGAGAAGTTAAATAAATCACCTAAGGTTATACAGCTGGTAAGTGATAGAACCTGGATTCAAACCCAAGCATACTGGCTTTAGCTCTCATGGTCTTAACCATTATACTATGGCTGCCTCGTATATGTCATTCCTCCCTTGTGGAATGCTTTTTTTTTTTTTCCTTCGTGGTACGCGGGCCTTTCACTGCCGTGGCTGCTCCCGTTGCGGAGCACAGGCTCCGGACGCGCAGGCTCAGCGGCCACGGCTCACGCGCCTAGCCGCTCCGCGGCATGTGGGATCTTCCGGACCGGGGCACGACCCCGTGTCCTCTGCATCAGCAGGCAGACTCAACCCCTGCGCCACCAGGGAAGCCCTGGAATGCTTTTTATTTCACATTTCCTCATGCTTTTTTTAGAGACCAAAATATGACACCTCCATTCGCTCAACATATATTAATTGAAAATCCATTCCGAGCCAGACGCTGCTTCAGATATTAGTGATGCAGCAGTGAGCAAAACAAAATGCCTGCTCGCATGGATTTTATGTTTAGTTGGGGGAGACAGACTGTAAAATATGTATAATTTATATATGCTGGCAGCGTATTTTCTCTGAAGAATAAAAAAAAATTAACTAGCTTCATACACTAAAGTAGACCCATTTAATCTCGGAAACAAGGGTTACAGTTTTTATTAGCCAAACTCTTTCTTTTTTTTAATTAATTAATTTATTATTATTTTTTGTCTGCATTGGGCCTTTGTTGCTGTGCACGGGCTTTCTCTAGTTGTGGCGAGCAGGGGCTACCCTTTGTTGTGGTGGCTTCTCTTTTTGCGGAGCCTGGGTTCTAGGCACGTGGGCTTCAGTAGTTGTGGCTAGCGGGCTTCAGTAGTTGTGGCTCACGGGCTCAGTAGTTGTGGTGCATGGGCTCAGTTGCTCCGTGGCACGTAGGATCTTCCCGGACCAAGGATTGAACCTGTGTCCCCTGCATTGGTAGGCGGATTCTTATCCACTGCACCACCAGGGAAGTCCCTAACCAAACTCTTAAAACTGAAATCGACTGACTGTATCCATTATGCTTTTGTCACAAAATAACATCTAATGATAGCTGTGGGTTGGGTGGATGCTGCTGTGAGAGGTGGTGTTGCCGATTAGCATGCAGGTGGTTTTTCAGGAGTGCTTTTGGGGTTGACAGCTATGGAAGAGAAGGAGAGAAGCAAGCTTAGGTAGGAAAAAATCAAGATGCCCTGAAGTCCCTACAGAAGTCTTAGTTGACCCTCCAGGGAGTTCTGAAGATGAGTTGACACTTCAGAGCTTCCCTGAGTCACGTCTGGGACCTTTATACCCCCATATTGAATTGGCTGTTGGTTGTAGGCTGACCAGGAAGGGGATTTGACTATAGGCAAGCAGTCACATCTCTGAAGGAGGCTGAAGACTGGGGATGTCTACCGGTAGCACTCCCGGTAGCTGGGATGACAAATGCTCCATTGCTAATGGGGGATTCTGGAGGTGGGGTGGAGAGCCGGCAGGTCAGATCACAGCATCCACCACGAGTGTCATTAGGAGATGTGGATTTGAATTTGCATTCTGTTTCCTAACTGTGAGACTCTGGCAAATATTCCCCTGTGCTAAGCTTTTTAAATCTGTAAAACAGGATTAGTAGGTCTAGTTTGACAGTTATTATGAAGATCATATAAGATGTTTGTTCAAACACCTGAAACATGCTAAATATTCTGTACATGGTTATAGGCTAAGGAAACATAAACAGTCATATTTCCTTGTCAAGAGTGCACTTCTTAGAAGTTGGGTTTCTCCTGGAAAATACTGCTTCTGCATTCAGTTAAGAAATATTTGAGTCCCTATGATATAAATAGTTGTGTGAATATATTAAAAAGTGAAGAATGTTTATCTTCCAGCTGTTTATAATCTAGCTAAGGATGTGTGTATATAATTAGTTGAATAACAAAAATTGGAACATAAGATACCTGTTGGACAGGTTTAGAAGTATAGACCATCAGGCTTATGCAGTCGAAAAAGTTTTAATGGACGTTGATATTGAAGAAAAAAGTTGATGTTGAAGAAAGAAGGTTGATGTTAAAGAAAGATCCCCACCTCCCTCCTTAAACTGAGGACAGGTCAGAATTAAAACTTGGATCATCAAGGTCTTATGTGTGGTGGTTTGAGTAAACAGATGTCCGTAATAAAGAGTTTGTGTCGGGAATGGTGCGATCACATTGAGAATAGAAATTGGAACAAGCTTGGAACAAGCTTATCAAGAGTCTTAAATACCACAGAGAGAGTTGGAATTACCGATTTAGGAGACCCTTACGTAGAGATAATAGTTAAAACATTGAATGTGAATTAGGTTTCCGAAAGAGAGAGACAATGAATATGAGAGAGGTTGTGAAGAATGTCTTGTGATTGGAGATAGAGGAGACTTAATAAGTGTTCAGAATAGTAGAGAGGGAGCCAGGGAAGCAGACTGTTATGAAAGCTAAGGCAAGAGGGTTCCAAGAGGCAGGGGTAGAAAACCATGAGATGCTTAGAAAGAGAATGATTATCAAGAAAAGGCCATTCCGTTTCTATGTGTGGCTTTCTGCTTAAAGCCCCTAAAGACTGCAGTTCTAACTTTTTTGCACATGTCTAAAATTTTTAAGACCTTATTTCTTACTCTGTTCTACGTTCCAACTACACGTGTGCTTGCACAGTCCCTAACACAGTGTCATTTCCTTCCTTTCTTCAACAAATATTTATCGAATACCCATTCTGTGCTAGACACTGCATTGGCCACTAGGAATATAATGAACAAAATTCCTATTTTAATCAAGCTTACATTCTAGCTGGGGTAGATGGTAGACTATAAACATTGGTTTATCTGTCCAGTGATAGAAGAGGTAGGTCAGAGGGGCAGCTAGGGCCATTCACACAGGGCCTTGTAGACCCTGCTAGAGACTTTGGATTTCCCTTTACTTTGGGGAAAGACATTTGGAGAGTTTAAAACAAAGGAAAGACATGAACTACATTAATTTTGTAAAACCCTTATGACAGAGGTCACTATATGTGTGTTAAATTAAGAGTCATTCGGTTTGTTTGACTTACGTTTGAAAGGATGACTGTGGCTGGCTACGACATGGAGATTAGATCACAGGGAGCCTTCTTATGGCTCCCTGGAGGAAAACCCAGGCTTCTGTTCTAGAACATTTTGTTATGTTTTTAAGTCTCGTGAATAGCTGCTAGGTGGATTTATTTAAGTACTATGACTTATCCAACAGTAATATAAAAATAAACACATGTAAAAAAAAATAAAATAAACACATGTTTATGTCAATTCCTTCATTTTTTTTGGTGTCTACCTTAAATTTATGAATCCTATTTTAAAATGAATTTTGGCAAATGTAGTTGTTAATCTGGGTGATTAATCCATGGAAGTCAGGGCTGAGGAAGAGGACGTGACAGACCTTTGTCAAATTTTTGAAGGGCTATCTCTTGGATGAAGGTAAACTTTTGGGGGAGGGGAGATCTGGGACTAGAGATTGAAAGAGATTTCAGTTAAGTATAATGCAGAGTTTGTCAGTAATAGAGCTGTTTGTGTAGTGGAATGCCTCACAAAAGAGTGAGCTTCTGATAACGAACATTAAAGCAAAAGTGGAACTACTATCTGTTAGAGCAGTTAGGGTGGGCTTCCTGAATGAGATGGGGAGATTGAATTAAGGTTTCTCACAAAATCACTATTTTTATCTTCAAGCATTATTCAATATTGGTATTTTATTTTTTACAGAGATAGTTTACTGGAAGCGGCACAGGCTGGTGCACACACAAAATAACTGAAGTCTGTCAAATGGTCAGGCATTCAGTAATATGTAGAGCATTATTAGTCTTAGTTATTGTCTAACTTAAAACTTCTTTTCTTTTTCAGGGATATCATGATAACACATTTTGAACCTTCAATCTCCTTTGAGGGCCTTTGTAATGAGGTTCGAGACATGTGTTCTTTTGACACCGAACAGCTTTTCACCATGAAATGGATAGATGAAGAAGGTGAGTGAATAAAGAGACAGCTGTCTGTGTGAGCATTTGATTTAAGATACCATTTTGTAATTTTTTTTTAACAATAAAGCTATATTTAATTTCAATCAATCAAAATTTTGTAGCTTTGGGCTTCCCTGGTGGCGCAGTGGTTGAGAGTCCGCCTGCCGATGCAGGGGAAACGGGTTCGTGCCCCGGTCCGGGAGGATCCCACATGCCGCGGAGCGGCTGGGCCCGTGAGCCATGGCCGCTGAGCCTGCGCGTCCGGAGCCTGTGCTCCACAACGGGAGAGGCCACAACAGGGAGAGGCCCGCGTACTGCAAAAAAAAAAAAAGTAGCTTTTAGAATCTATTGCTCAAGACTGCACGTAAGCAACTTAAATGCAAAGTATACTGGTAGCACTTAAGGGAGGAAGACTGTGTACTTTTTTTTTTTGCTCTCCTTCTGTTTGATATTTTTTTATTAGTTATCTGTATTATACATATTAGTGTATATATGTCAATCCCAGTCTCCCATTTCATCCCCCACCCACCCGCTTTACCCCCTTGGTGTCCATATGTTTGTTCTCTACATCTGTGTCTCTATTTCTGCCCTGCAAACCAGTTCATCTGTACCATTTTTCTAGATTCCACATATATGCGTGAATATACGATATTTGTTTTTCTTTCTGACTTACTTCACTCTGTATGACAGTCTCTAGGTCCATCCACGTCTCTACAAATGACCCAATTTCGTTTCTTTTTATGGCTGAGTAATATTCCATTGTATATTTGTACCACATCTTCTTTATCCATTCGTCTGTCGATGGGCATTTAGGTTGCTTCCATGACCTGGCTATTGTAAATAGTGCTGCAATGAACATTATGGTACATGTATCTTCTTGAATTATGTTTTTTTCTGGGTATATGCCCAGTAGTGGGATTGCTGGATCATATGGTAATTCTACTTTTAGTTTTTAAGGAACCTCCATACTGTTCTCTGTAGTGGCTGTATCAATTTACATTCCCACCAACAGTGCAAGAGGATTCCCTTTTCTCCACATCCTCTCCAGCTTTTGTTGTTTGTAGATTTTCTGATGATGCCCATTCTAACTGGAGTGAGGTGATACCTCCTTGTAGTTTTTATCTGCATTTCTCTAATAATTAGTGATGTTGAGCAGCTTTTCATGTGCCTCTTGGCCATCTGTATGTCTTCTTTGGAGAAATGTCTGTTTAGGTCTTCTGCCCATTTTTGGATTGGGTTGCTTGTTTTTTTAATATTGAGCTGCATGAGCTGTATATATATTTTGGAGATTAATCTGTTGTCCATTGATTCATTTGCAAATATTTTCTCCCATTCTGAGAGTTGTCTTTTCGTCTTGTTTATAGTTTCCTTTGCTGTGCAAAGCTTTTACGTTTCATTAGGTCCCATTTGTTTATTTTTGTTTTTATTTCCATTACTCTAGGAGGTGGGTCAAAAAAGATCTTGCTGTGATTTATGTCAAAGGGTGTTCTTCTTATGTTTTCCTCTAAGAGTTTTATAGTGTCTGGTCTTACAGTTAGGTCTTTAATCTATTTGAGTTCATTTTAGTGTATGCTGTTAGGGAGTGTTCTAATTTCATTCTTTTACATGTAGCTGCCCAGTGTTCCCAACACCACTTATTGAAGAGGCTGTCTTTTCTCCATTGCATATCCTTGCCTTCTTTGTTGTAGATTAGTTGACCATAAGTGCATGGGTTTATTTCTGGGTTTTCTATTCTGTTCCATGGATCTATATTTCTGTTTTTGTGCCAGTACCATATTGTCTTGATTACTGTAGCTTTGTAGTATAGTCTGAAGTCAGGGAGTCTGATTCCTCCAGCTCTGTTTTTTTCCCTCAAGATTACATTGGGTATTCAGGGTCTTTTGTGTCTTCATACAAATTTTAAGATTTTTTGTTCTGTTTCTGTAAAAAATACCACTAGAGATTACATTGAATCTGTAGATTGCTTTGGGTAGTATAGTCATTTTCACAATGTTGATTCTTCCAATCCAAGAACATGGTATATCTCTCCAACTGTTTGTGTCATCTTTGATTTCTTTCATCAGTGTCTTATAGTTTTCTGAGTACAAGTCTTTTACCTCCTTAGGTAGGTTTATTCCTAGGTATTTTATTCTTTTTGTTGCAATGGTGAATGGGATTGTTTCCTTAATTTCTCTTTCTGATCTTTCATTGTTAGTGTATAAGAATGCAAGAGATTTCTGTGCATTAATTTTATGTCAAGCAACTTTACCAGAGTCATTGATTAGCTCTAGTAGTTTTCTGGTGGCATCGTTAGGATTATCTATGTATAGTATCATGTCATCTGTAAGCAGTGACAGTTTTACTTCTTTTCCAGTTTGGATTCCTTTTATTTCTTTTTCTCCTCTGATTGCCGTGGCTAGGACTTCTAAAACTATGTTGAATGATAGTGGCAAGAGTGGATATCCTTGTCTTCTTCCTGATCTTAGAGGAAACGCTTTCAGTTTTTCACTATTGTGAATTATGTTTCCTGTGGGTTTGTCATATATGGCCTTTATTATGTTGAGGTAGGTTCTCTCTGTGCCCACTTTCTGGAGGGCTTTTATCATAAATGGGTGTTGAATTTTGTCAAAAGCTTTTGATTTAAGGTACCATTTTGTCTTTTTAAAAAATTAATTTATTTATTTATTTTTGGCTGCATTGGGCCTTTGTTGCTGCACGCAGGCTTTCTCTAGTTGAGGTGAGCGGGGACTACCCTTTGTTGTGGTGCGCAGGCTTCTCATTGCAGTGGCTTCTCTCATTGCAGAGCACAGGCTCTAGGCATGAGGGCTTCAGTAGTTGTGGTACGTGGGCTCAGTAGTTGTGGCTCACGGGCTCTAGAGTGCAGGATCAGTAGTTGTGGCACAGGTTGCTCCATGGCATGTGTGATCTTCCCGGACTAGGGCTCGAACCTGTGCCCCCTACATTGGCAGGCGGATTCTCTACCAGTGTGCCACCAGGGAAGCCCTGTTTTTAAAACATAATAAAAGTCCTAATTAACTTAAGGAGGGAAAGGTATATTGGAAATTTGATGCCATTCTTATTTTCCTTCAAGTATTTGAGTATCAAAGAGTACAACTTTGTTTTGCCCTTTTTACCCTTAAATATAGTGAAATTAATGTGACTTTTTTCCAGCAATAAGGTAAACATCTCATTAAATAGTGTTACATTTTAGTTTAATTTTGAATATATGTTGCCTTAAATTTTAAGAGATTACTTTCAATAATTTGACAGTACTTTACAGAAAATATTCTTTAAAGAAAATGTTTTAGAAAAAGTGTAAAAGTGATTGTGACAACCATTATTTCAAAGGTGGTGGCAAAAACTTGATTCAGAAAACATTTATTGGATATGTGTGTGTTGAGGATAGATACTTTCTATCCTCAAACTCCACAGGGAGATGGACATGTGAAAAACAAATGTGACAGTTGAACCTAAATGCATAGGGGCCTCAATACAAAAGAAAGAGGAGCATCTGCTTATGCCTGAAATATTTGCAAAGTTTGAACTAACCGTATAACAGAGTAAAAGTTTTTGAAGTGGAGTAGGTGAGGGGAGGACCAGAAAGAAAGAATAATATATAAAAAGGCACAGAGGTATGAAGAACACGGTGTGTGGGGAAGAGCAGTAATTCACTAAATTGAAAGGATAGGGAGGCCTCGTTCTGGCGGTCCCATATTGAACTGGAGTTGGAAGAGGTGAGTCTGGTCTCAGAACGGCGGTAAAACCACCACCAGGTCACTCCCAGCCTGCTGCCACGAGGAGGAGGGCCATGATCCAAAGGAACCAGCGCTGTTGAGAAAACTGTTTATTGGAGGTCTGAACGTTGAAACTACAGATTATTGTTTAAGAGAACATTTTGAGAAATGGGGCACACTTACGGATTGTGCAGTGATGAGAGACCGCCAAACAAAACTTCCCAGGACGTCTAGTTTTGTGAATTACTCTAGCGTTGAAGAGGTGGATGCAGCAATGAGTGCAGGACTACCGAGGTTGATGGGTGTTTGGTGGAACCAAAGAGAGCTGTTTCTAGAGAGGATTCTGTAAAACTTGCTGCCCTTCCGAAAGTGAAGAAACTTTTTGTTGGTGGTATTAAAGAAGATACAGAAGAATATGAGAGACTACTTTGAAAAGTATGGCAGGATTGAAACCATAGAAGTTGGTCTTTCAACCATGGAAGGCAGGCAGAGTGGAGAAAAGAGGGTTTGCTTTTGTAGCTTTTGATGATCATGATACAGTTGATAAAATAGTTGTTCAGAAATACCACACAATTATCGGGCATAACTGTGAAGTGAAAAAGGTGTAACTCATAGTTCTTTCTCTCTAAATAGCTATTAAGTGTCCTAATTTTCTGGGAAAACTATAAAACTGTAGCCTTTGCCTCATTCAAGTGAAGGTTAAACTTTTCATTAAGGTCTGTTGATTCCCATGTGATCCTTTTTACACTGGTGAATTCTGATACCAGTCTTTTCTTAATTTTAGGCTTACAGAGCTGGTAGTAATTATTTTTGAGTTCCTTGCAATTATTTTTCAGTTGTAATTTTTCATCTTTATTTTTAGCCATGTAGGCATTGGGGCATGCTTATATGGAGAAGAAATTTTCTCTAGGATCAGTGGAAGACAGGACTATAATTTGATTTCTCTGGTTTATGAGAAACATTGTTCTAGAAGCTAAACATTTAATTGTAGGATTTTATATCAGAGCAAATAAAGATCATACTTCATTTCTTTACACAGATTTATGACAACCGTTCTTCTTTGTGTTCAAAACTAGTTTTACTGATTGGTTTTGATGTGCATGTGGAAAAACTGGTTTGCTTAATCTAACTAAACATTTTAGAATGAATAGTATTTTGTAACAATCATGTGCTGGTTCTCATATGCAGTGAGAGTGTGGGTCAGGGCATGATAAATGTGAGTTTTTAGTTCCCTATATAAGTGTGATTGTTTTTCCTTAAGGATGTGCTTTAAAAATATTACATCTAATATTGAGT